ATCTTATCCTTCACAAGTTCTTGTGGTACGATCATTTCTCCTTCAATTTTATCCTCAAGTGTATCATTGGGCAACCCATTATTCTTGGTGCGGGACTCAGATTCAAAATTTTCTGATTCGGAAGAATAATCACTAACAGATTCCCTATTATCTGAATTCCTCCCTAATGTATCATCCCTGGTATCAGAGATAGAAGTTTGATCAAGTCTTGTCTCTTTACTGGATCCAGCATTTTGTTCTTCGATAATATTTTCAACATTTTCATCAGAACAATGTTCTAATTCAAATGCAACAGTTGATGCGCTATTGATCATACCAACAATTTGTTCAGGACTGAGTGCATCTACATCAGGACTCAATGCATCAATTGAAGGATTATCGTAAACATGAAGTTCAGAATTCTCGATATCATTTCCATCTGATAAGGAGTCATCAAGATTGCATCGTTGTGCAGCTTCCATTTGTTTTTCTGTTCGTTTCTAGATGCCATTTCGAAGATGATAATATCACTCACTCTGATGGACTCACAACTGAAAACAAGAAATCGTATAATTATTCAGGAAAAATCGTTCCATACAGGAACATTATTTCAACGATATTATAACAATTGCTCTAGCTGATGAAGACAAGAATAAAACATTCAGACAGATTCTTACCTTTAAAAACAGGAATTATGTTCGGGAGCAGCACACTACACGTTACGGTGCCATTGACGAATAGCGAGTTACGAGTTACTGCTCCAGAATCTCGAGCATTGAATGAAGATAGATGTTCTGAAGCATTCTCGGTAAAAAACGTGATTTTCATAAAAATGTCAGTTATAAGTCCAGTAGCCAGAGGATTTTGCTCTGCAAAAGGTCCGGTAGTTTCGATTTTTAGAGTTCGGGGTTCTTATAATAATATAAAAACCCCAAATTTGCGAACTCGGCGGCCGCCCTCGCGAACCGCCATTTTGGAAAATGGCGACTAGAATTGTTAATTTTTGCATTATCTTCTCACTGGTGGGTACTAGCACGAAAAGTTTCATCTGAAACATTATTTTGTACGACCCATAGTGAGGGAGCTTCGAAATGGTGCAATTAGCTATGAAATACGAAAACGCGCTGTTATGAGTTTCAGTTACCCGCGAAATTCAAGTATGACAATCGTGTTGATCTCTCATTGTCATGCGATATTTACCTCATCCAAATCTAAACATAGATTTTTTTCATTAGTATGGAAAGCTTTCATTTTTGATGAAAAGACCTCTCGGCTTCTCACTATAACAAGTACCTATTTGTACAAAAAAAAAATATTGAGAAGAAGAAATTCGTTCCATGCATGGTTTCTGAACTTTCTTACTTCGATATATATCTCTGGGTTTTTTCATTTCCGTATCATGATTGAACTTGGCGGAATGTTTTGAAAATATACCAGGCTGCGTCTGCACTATTTGCGGGTGTTTCTGAAAGATATTGCAAAATTTAGCTTCTTCCTGGTTAAAGAGGGGACTTGATGTGATCGCATGCAGAAAAAAAAATTATCTGCTACTTTGGGATAGCTAAATGAGTATACCAAACACAATAATTGTTCTCCCGATTTAATTTCTGGTTTCTACATCTAAAACGTTATTATATATGAACTGGTTTTACTCCTGTCAGATGAGAATAAGTAGATCTATGTATTCGCCGACCCCTATTATTGTACCATTGAGATACAATTTATGTTCCACCATACCGCACTCACTCATTGCCAAGTGGAGAATGGTCCTGAAATCAAAGCCACCAAACGGTACAATCACCTACCTCGTATTATTTATTACTCAAATTAGCTTCTTTCAACATTTCATGACAACAAAATGTTTCAGAATATGAGTTCAGTAAGATTCTCTGAACGTATAAGTCAAACTCATCCTTGAACTCTCAAGTCACGATAAAATGAAGTTCGGTTAAGTTCAGAAAATTTTTATCAACTCACTATTAGGAAAAGTGAGATGAAATGGAATATTCTTCATATATTTGAAGTAGTAGTAAGACTCCCAGCCACCTCTACTCTCCAAAATTATTTAATAAAAATCTGGACGATTTCAGGACATGTTTCGAACCTTTATATATAGTTTCATTATCACCTATTATCTCAGGTATACCAGTGCGGAGATAATGCGAAAGTCGACAATTTTCGACCCCATTTTCCAAAATGGCGGTTGACGCAGGCCGTCGCCGAGGTCGCAAATTTGGAAATTTGATAATTACCGTGGATTCTAGAACATATCCCAAAATCAAAACTACCGGATCTTCTGCAAGACAAGGCTTACTCACGATCCCTGACTACTGGACTAAAACGAGGTACATACTGCGGTTTATTGACCCTCGATATGTTACTCACTTAAGTTAGTAGGTACTTGTTTATTTGGTTGTATTAAATACGCTCCGAAAATACTGGAATGATTTGAAAAATCCTCCAAGCATTAGAAGCTGACATTATACCTCATAAACATAGGCTACTTCTTACCGCGGAAAATGCTTTATTAATTCGGGAAAACGGGTAATAGGACAACGACGGGCAGTAAGAATTATCCTTATCGGTACTTATCTCTTCCACATAACTTCTAAACTGCTGAACCGATTGGGTTGACATTTTATATAGATATATCGATGGTTTAATCAATGATTTAAAAATACAATTGGACGTGGTAGGTGGCGCTGCTGTCGGTACGTCAACGACTAAACAATTTGACCGATTGGTTTGGAATTTTCAATACGTGAAACAAAACAAAAATCACTAGAGATACTGATGAGAGAATGAAAGTGGGTGTGTATATAATAGAAGCAATAGGTGAGTTCAAAAAATTTGAAAAAATAATGAAACAAAATGTACTGTGTATACACACATAACTCAGAACGACTGCAACAAATGTTTTTTTTTTTTCAAATAAATACATCAACCGCATGTGAAGCCGTGCCGTACATCTATTTTCTTCGAACATCATAGGTATTTTCCTCCGTGCGCTCCAAGCGATAGGAGAATTATCTGTCCACAATTATTTTGATTTTTAATTCTAACCTTGATCTATCAGTCCAAGAGCCAGCTGAAAATTTCCACTGTCATCTGATAATGAAATGATATATATGTCCCAAAGGCATATGTATCCCTAACAACACGGGATCTTGCTGGTACATCCCGCTAAGGTCCTACAAAATGTCCCAATGTTTCAGACTTAGGTACGATATCCCAGAGATGTTTCTCTTGGGACATCCATCAGATGTTTTCATTGAATGTTCTAGAAACATCCCATTAGATCTTTTTTTATATAAACAATATCATGGTTCCATATTTGCTAATGATGATTGACATATGATTGAACAGTTCAAACAATTGTGACATTTGAAACATTGAAAAGTTGGTGACAAATGGAAATCAAAACTTTAACCGTACTCATATACTTTATACCTATACCAAAGCCGGCTTATTTCATCGATAACAAATTGAAATAATTATACTAATTATTCCTCAATAAGATTACCAAAGGACCTGCTCAACTTCATGAACCATGTAATAAACGACAAAATTGAAATATATCTCTCCAGCATATTCATTGCTGAATTCATTTGTTATACCCAGCCGATAGATGGCGGTACAACTAAACGTTGCTAAGTGTTATTAACAGCCGTCGGCCCAGCGCCAACAAATATGAGCCTCAAACAACTGTTATCATCTTCCATTAGTTATTGGACCGCACCGACCCTATATTTTCGGATTCGGATTGTTACTTTATATCTGGAAATAGGTCGGCCATTTTCAGGATTTCAGATTGAAAATAATTCATACCGTGTCATCCATTACTGGCATCAAACAAGAAACACCCTGAAAGTTTCTTCAAGATGGCCCATATCAAGTACCCTGAATGTCTCTGGTACATTCCGTATCATCCCATAAACATTCTGATGGGATGTTTATAATACATCGCAAATACTGACACGGGTGTTGCCAGCAACATTCCAAGAATGTCCCAAGGAAAATAGGACTTTTTCAAAGATGTTCCTATTATCCCATATGGATGTTTCTACGACGTCTTACAGGAAATTAGCACTCGATTTTGCGATTTGATAACGAAATAAGAATTATGCCATCCGATACCAATTTAATGGTAGATTTTGAAAAACTACCTGTGCCACCCCTCAGTCTGAGCCAAATCCACGGCACAGCGATTTATTTGCTGCTATAATTCTGGACATTTTTTCGTCATGTTATGAAGAGTTGAAACATGAAGCAACTAAAAGGGGATGATGTCGCCTCAGCAAATATCCAAGCGTGCCAAGATTCAAAATGATCTAAGTTAGCGGCAGAGCGTCGAAACTTCCGAAAATATTTCGCCCCCCTTGAAGATAATATGTGATGGACCAGTGTAAAAATTGGATTTGGCCCATACTGAGGGGTGGCACACGTAGGTTTTTGGGATCTAACATCCAATTGCGTATCGGGTGGCATAATTCTCATCTCGTTATCAAATCGCGGAATCGAGTGCAAATTTACGTACAGGTGCAATGTTTTGATCAGTTTGCTCAGGATATTGATTGGCACAGGGGCCGTTCAATGAACTATAATGTTTTCACTTTCTACTAGGACATTCATCATTTCGTCATCAGATGACCGTAGAAATCTGCAGCCGACTCTCCTACTATGTGTTTATTTTTCTTCGAAGATTTCAGGGCTCATTATTGAAGTTCACTGATTGAATGTCTCTTTGAGGTTCCTATTAGCGAAATATTAAGCGCAGTGATACTACGAGGCAAATCATCTGATTTATCCTTACTACAGGTATATACATAGGTGTTGAAATAAAACTTCATAGATACAAAAAGAGAGTCCCATCAAAAATCCAGAGAAAATGATCATTTTGAATGAAATGCATCACAATATATCCCTATCTGGCAATAACAACATATATCTCCATAATAATATTCCGGTCATTTCCGATGATATTTAATTGCATTGAATAAAAATATGAATGTTTTTGACAGCTGATTTAGCACTGCTGACCGATGGCATGCACTATGGATGGCCTTCTCCAACCCTTCCACAAATCCTGAATAACACCAACTCCACACTATGCATCAGCCAAGATCAGGGTCTCTGGCTAGCAGTAATGCCCCTCTTAGGATCCACTATAGGAGCCCTAATAGCAGCGAATATTGTTGACTGCTTTGGTAGGAGAAAAACTATTTTAGCAACTGCGATCCCTTTTTTCACTGCATGGTTCATGGTAGCTGCTGCCACTAGTCCTGTGTGGTTGTATATAGCAAGGTTAGTATAGAGGGTGGACAATAAGATGTTGATACATCAATTACTATAATGAGTGATAACGACTCGTAAAATAAGGAGATATGTACATTTCTACCTCCAAAAAATAAATTCAATATGACACAAATACAAGGCGTGTTGAAGTTCGATTAAAAACTTCCTCATTCCATATCTGAAGAAACTCTAAAGTGATTTCTTTCGAATTTGGCACACTTGCATGTGTGTGAACCTGCTGCGTTTATAGTAAAAGTCGAAAATAATTGGTATATTGAGGAAGTCAAGGTGAGTTGATATATATGTGAAAAAATATATTTCGCCTATTCCTAACAGAAATACAGGGCATTATTTTAATTCGGGGCGAAACGTTGATGAACGATATTTCAGGAACGTCTCGATGTTTTCGCCTGAAATTCACCAGTAACTTAACTCTACACTGACACACCACATACTGGCATTCTATGGAAAAAAAATCCAGAGCCGGACTTGGAAAAGGCGAAAACATTAAGTTTCGCCCCGAATTCGAATAATGCCCTGTTTTTCTGTTAGGAATTGGCAGAATATATTTTTTCACATATATATCAACTCACCTTGACTTCTTCTATCCGCCATTACCATGGTTACTCATGACTCACCCTGTATATGTGATATATAAAATAGATATATACGACAGCACATTTGGGACATGTGATATCGCATTTGAAGTCACGCGAACATATACATATATGTACCTTATGATATGTAGAGATGTAAAGGCACATTGTTGTGACTTCCTTAAGACATAAAAATGCGAGATCACATAGAAAATCACGAGGACGTCATAAATAAGTGGTAATAAATTAATATCAAGTGATAGTGGATGTAATAGACATTACAATGATAAAAGCTGAACCGTTCAAAATACAGAATAAGTACATTGATGTTATCATATTCGGAGATGTTGTCAGTGCGGGGTTACTGGGATTCAATAAATAATGGATATAGTTAGTTTCATTTGTAGGTGCTGCTGAGACCATCTTGCTTGTGTTGCCAGCTATCGGCTGCTTTTGTAACAAATAAATTGATCCCGAAATACACTCAGTTCCAAAAGAAGTGACGCACTTGATATTTTGAAAAAAAAATAGTAGGCCGACTTTTATTTTATTTTATTCGTTGGTAGGTAATGCATTTGTTTAAAACAAAAAAATAAAAAGGTGAAAATTTTTTCAAAGCCTCCTTGATGGTGGTGGAATAACTCGAACCATGATTTATACTTATTTTTGACTCACCCTGTGTGTTAATTGAGTAATGGTATACAAAGTGCTTACACCCTATTCGAAAGAGGATTCTTTTGCGAATATTTTGTTTTTTTATTCAATGATTTATCTCTAAAATTTTCCGAATAACACCTTTTTTGCTGATACCTTACTCTCAGTACTCAAAATTGATTGGGTTGTACTCTGGTAGGATCACATTGTCTTTAAAAAACAAATGCCGTTGTCATAGCAACTAATTTGTTGTATGCCTCCATATTTGACCATTTGTCGTTGTGTCATTAATTAGGTGTCATGTTTTATTGACTAAAATCACATAAAATGCCTCAAATAAATCCTGAACAAGTAGCAAGATTAGTTGCGTTAGTAAACGATGGGCGTAGTAAACGTTACGCCGCTCGTGCAGTGGGAGTTCATGAAGAAACTGCTCGTAGAGCAATCCGCAAGTACGAACAAACAGGAAGCACCGCTCGGAGGGTCGGTTCTGGTCGCGCCTGAAAAACTTCTCCAAGAGATGATCGCTTCTTGAGATTGCGGATTTTACGGAATTGATCAAATACTGCGGTAACTGTTCAGCAAGATCCCTGCCAAACTCGTGATGTTGCAGTAAGTAAGCAGACGGTATGTAGACGTCTAGAAGAAGTTAATTTAAAAGCTAGGAGACCTGCAAAAGGTCCCAAATTATTGCCCGAACATCGTGCTGCTAGAAGAAATTTTGTTGAAAATTATGGACAGTGGAATTATATTCCTGAATGGTCGAATGTCTTGTTTACGGATGAGTCAAGGTTTTGCCTTAACATGGTGGATGGAAGAAAAGAGTGTGGAGAAGAACTGGTGAACGGTTGAATCAAAATTTAAAAACAGAATGCGAAAGTTTTAATGGTGGGTCCGTTATGGTGTGGGGAGGGATTTCAATGAATGGAAAAACACTCCTTCATGTTTTTCCGGTGATTCAGTCGATGAATGCCCAAATTTACATTGACATTTCAGAGCAGTATGTCTTATACCTTTCGCAGAGTTAGTGGGCAATACTTTCATATTGATGCAGGATAATGACCGACCACACACCGCAGCAACAGTGCGAAACTTCTAAGAAGCTACTGGTATTACCACATTACAATGGCCTGCGAGAAGCCCCGATATGAATCCTATAGAACATTTGTGGGATGAATTAGGCAGAAGGGTACGTTCTCGCGAGAGATCTCCGGAAAGTCTCGCAGAAATGGCAGATGCATTAGTGGAAGAATGGGATCGTATACCAATGGAAACGATAAGCAACTCAATTTCCAGTATGCCTCGTAGATTAGAAGTTCTTAGAGTTGCTAGAGGAGACAATACACGGCATTAAGCATTCATCCCAATTTATAATTTTGTGTTTAATAAAAATGTTTTTTGAAATTATTGGTATCAGTTTATTTCATTATAAAATTGTTTCTCGATAAATTCAGAAAGTTGGTAATCTGCAAGGATTCAGCAAAAAAAGCTGTAATTCGGAAAATTCTAGAGATAAATCAATGAATAAAAAAACAAAATGCTCGCAAAAGAAGCCACTTTTTTATTGGGTTCGAGCACTTTCTATGCCATTACTTAATTAACACACAGGGTGAGTCAAAAATTAAGAAAAAATCATGGTTCGAGTTATTCCACCATCATCAAGGAGGCTTTGAAAAAATGTTCACCTCTTAATTTTTTTTTCAAAGACAAATGCATTACCTACCAACAAATAAAAAAAATATAAAAATCGGCCTATAATTTTTTGTATTTTTTTTTATAAGAAGATAGGTCAAATATCAAGTGCGTCACTTTCTTTGGAACTGAGTGTAGAAGGATTCGTCAATAAATCAGAATGAATGCTAAAGCAGACAGTTTTTTATTTCAATAAATAATATATTTTTCAAGTTGATGCCCATTGAATAATGAAATAGATTAGTTACCTTGCTATATTATACTGAGAGAACTAAGTATCTATTAGTAGTTGAAACCAATTGTTGTTAATTATTATCATCATTATTATTATTATTATGGGGTACCTACTTTCATGTTTGCCTATATTTCAGATTTATTGCTGGTGTGGCGGATGGCGTCTCCTTTACTGTCGTTCCAATGTATATTGGAGAAATTGCAGATGCAACAGTTCGAGGAATGCTCGGCTCCAGCTGCTCCGTCATGTGGATAGTTGGTTTCCTTCTGATTAACATTATTGGATCATATTTGAGCATCAGTAACACAGCGATCGTGTCATCACTAGTTCCAATTTGTGCCCTAGTTACTTTTTTCTGGATGCCAGAAAGCCCTTATTATTTGATAATGAAGGAAAGGATCGATGAAGCGCAAAGCAGTTTGAGGAAGCTCAGGAGAACAGAAAAAGTAGGTATGGCTGAAAATAATCTATTTTTCGACGCGAGCATATCATGATATGAAATAATATGTACCCAGTCAAAACGACCCCTTTTCCTAAACAGGCTAGTCCGTCTACATCGCACATAGGACGTTATTTGTGGAGTTCTAAAAATGTCACTGATTCGAAAATCTGTACAGAGGGATATGATTGAGTCCTGTTCAATGAAATTATTCTCAAGATGGCGGCATTTACGGTCATACCGGAAGTGGACATCAACTTCATTATTTTTAATGGAAAGCTATATGTATTTTTTGTCACTCTTCTTATGGCCATCCCTATACCTAAACCTATTCGTTTTCAAGATATATGAGGAATTTTTTTAATATTTTTTCGTTTTCACCTTCCTCTTAGGGAATAGATATATTTTAAGATGTATCGAAATTATTTTGGAGCATTAATAAGAAAACGAACTGATCTTTTTTGATGTTTCCATGATTCGGGAAAAACGATTAGAAATCCGTCAAGTTTGAGAAATAATTTGGGATAGTACAAGTACGATTTTTTGTTATGAAATGCTAAATGATTTTCTTCGACTGAATGTAGGAGAATTTAATTCTGCATCGATCTGTTTTAATGATGTTCCCTATAGGTACCTATGTCTGATTGTTTTCACGTTATGACGATACTTTTTCTATAATGAAAGGAATTCATCAATATTCTCAGTAGTAAGTACCTACCTATACTCGTTCTGCATATAGTTTGCCATGGACATGAGATATATGTCATGATTTAGTTGGAGTTCTTCCTGTCAGATTATTATTAATCATGACAATATATGGAAACTCAATTCAAATCAGAACTTGAATTTAATTCGAATTAATGGAAAATGTAACACTTGTAGTTTATTCAACGGGACATAGGTATATCCTCACTTACAACATCGAGAAAAATCTAGTTATACAAGCTCTATTCGAAAACATCCTATAACTGCTAAATAAAACATTTTAACCACGAAATGGCATCTTATAATAATAATAATAATAATAAATCGACTTTATTTATAAAAGTATGATGAAAACAAATACAATTGTTATGATCATTAAGGGGCGAAATTTAGCTAGGCTACTCTTACATCTAACCCCATAATGATCTGCATAATATAAGATAGCATGTAATAAAAGATTATGTAATAATGACATGGTTACATTACATGATTTTACTAAATTATTACAGACTACATCTTTAAATCATACCATTCACATCAGAATAATTGATTAGATCGGTAGGTCCGATAAGAGCTTCTGCTTGAAACGATGCTTGAAAGCAGACTTACTAAGGTTCATCATATTGTCAGGTAATGAATTGATCAATTTAATAGCATTTTAAGTGAATCCTTTCTGAAAGAGAGTTGTCGAATGATGCGGAATTGTTATGGTTGTCTTTTTTCTTATATTCACGGAATGAACTTGAGACCGTGGAACTAGATTACTTTTTATGTCCACCGGACCTGTTTGCATGACTTTCTGTAAGTAAGTTGCCAAGTGTAACTTTCTACGACTCTCCATATTTAGCCAATTGAGCTCTTTTAATTTTTGACTAACATGATCATATTTTCTGAGACCAAAAATGAATCGAATACAGTAGTTTTGTACTTTCTGTATCTTGTTTCTGAACGCTGCATCCAGAAAAGGTCCATAAAGAAAGTCACAGTACGTAAACTGGGATAAAACTAGACTCTCAGATAATTGTTTACGTAACTTTGGGTTCAGTATATATCTGTTGGAATATAAAACTTTCAACGATGTAAAACTCCTTTTAAGTAAATTATTTATATGGCATTTGAAACTAAGATCATCGTCCAACACCAATCCTAAATTTCTCACAGAATGTTCAACGTTTATCTGAGTTCCATTGATGCTAACTAAAAGATTAGATTTAATATATTCATACTGATTGCGAGGTGAAAAAATTAGTAACTTCGATTTTGTAGAGTTCAGTTTCAGATTATGTGATGAACTTTCAGAGGAGATAACGTTGAGATCGTAATTGAGATCAAGTTGCGCTTGCTCTAACTTATCAACAGGGAATTTAATGACAATTTGTGTATCATCTGCGTATGCACGCACATACACTGCATTTATTTATAGATTTCAAAATATCAGCTGTATAAATTATAAACAATAGTGGTCCAAGAATGCTACCTTGGGGAACTCCTGTTGTGATATTGACGTATCCAGACTGATTACCGTTGGATAATATTTTTTGCTTTCTATTACTGAAATAAGATTTTATCAATAATAAAGCATCATGAGAAAATCCATAGGAAGTCAATTTTGCCAGGAGGAGTTTGTGATTTATTGTATCAAATGCTCGTGAAAAATCAAGTAGAACAAGTGCGGAGCTTTCTTTTTTGTCTAATCCTGCAATGATATCATCTAACACTCTGACAAGTGAATCGGAGATACTAAGATTTTTTTGAAAACCTGTTTGAGATGATGGAATAATGTTCGTTTCCTTGGCAAAATCAGTGATTTGCGCAGCCATGAGTTTCTCTAGAATTTTTGAAAGACACGGTAAAATACTAATTATTCTCAAATCTGATAGAGTAGTAGGTTTAGATATTTTTGGTAAAGGGCGCCCCAGAGAAATTTTCCATAGTGTAGGAAATGTTTGTTTTTCGATAGAGTAATTAATTAAATGTGTAATGAAAGGGTCAATGAAGGGGCTGTAGTGTAAAATCATATTGATTGATAAATCATCAATACCATAAGCTGCAGATTTAATTTGCGAAAGATAATCATGGGTTTGCTCCACACTGATCATCTTGAACTGAAAGTTATCAGCTCCTTGAAATGAATCATCATTCTCATAAAAATCAATAGCATCCGTACAGTTCATCATCCGACGAACCAGACCAAATTTGAGCAAAGAAATCATTAATTTTATTAGGATCTGAAATATCGTCAGGAATTGAATTACTTTTGTTCTGAGCCACCTTAAGATTTCTTAATGCCTTCCAAACACGTCTGCTATCATTATTTCTACAAAAAGTATCAATATATGCTTTTTTCTCATTCCTAATAAGCGTAAGTGTTGAATTACGTAATCTTTTATAGTCCTCCCAGTCACCATCTAAGCGAGATTTTTTAAATTTACTCAGTGCTTTATTTCGCATCTTTATCGCATCCTTCAAGTGTTGATTTAGCCAAGGAGCACGTGGTTTTGTAACTTTAGCTTTACTTTATGGACGTGAAAAGTCAACTTTGTCAACGGGTCACATTTTAAAATTACTCTTTTTGTTTTAAAGTGGTTACCTTATATAGCTTTGAAATATAGAACAATAGATCATAGTTGAAAGATGGAATTTAAAAGATAATCATATAAATCCTAAAAGATGTCATTTCACAGTTATACAAGTATCATTTGAGTTCCATCCCTTCTTCATTTACCATCTCTGTCATACTCGTTTATCTCAATGAGTCATATCTGATATGTGATATTTTATTTGATGAAATATAATTTCCATCTGGTAAGCAGATGAGTGAAAGTCCACCTCACTTTGGATCTTGGACTATCATGTAGATTAATGGTTATATAGCCCCTGCGCGGTAATCTAAAGGTCGTGGGTTCGATCTCCAGTAGAAACGCATTTTTTATCCATGATAAAATTCTTCATTATACTCTATCTAGATTTCATTTTCAACTGTCTGAGTAAAGAATAGGCGGATCTACGTTGAATCAGGTATTCATGGACCTGAAATGGACGTGCTGAGAATGTACAAATGCGCGGAATCTGGACGTCCCCAGTACGTACGAAACGTCTAGGCCGGGCGTACTTAGTACGTTTTGAAGACGTACTCGTGCTATTTGGGCGTGAACTCCTGGATTCGTCAATAAACGATTATATAAGTCTCTGCGTAGTAGTCCATGCTCAATCTGGAGGTGATGAGATAATTAAGAGAACAGCGAGACTTTGAGTTTGTTCTCTTGATTATATACGTGATTTTTTATAATTTCAGGTGGATGATGAACTGGAAAGAATGCGAACTTCAATACAGAGTAAGAATAAGAACACGGGGCGAATCTTGGATCTGTTCTCAATCAAATCTAATAGAAAGGCTTTGTTCATTGTAACAGGACTAAGAGGTAAAATCTACTTATGCATTTGTGATTCACTGCCAAATGTCCGTTTCGAGTTTCAGTAAATCATACCATATCTCTAGATATTTTCGAATTATCAAATTGAAATTTCTTAGGGCTTGAATAAATATTTTGCTATATCTGAAACTACCAGTTTAGGCAGAGGTGAATAACTATAGGTACTGAATTCTTTTTGAATGAAACATACCCTCTATATATGTAGTTACTCATATAAAGTTTGTGAATATATAGGGTGTTTCATGAATATTGGTGAGGAATTTGTAGATTGATGCCTGAGGTTTTTTAATGGAACAAAACAAAATGCTAAGCCCATTCAATTAGAGCACCTTATTCAAGTCGTTTTTTTTGCAGTCAATTATTCGAATTCATAAAATTGGGTGCAGGGCTAGTTTTATTAATGAGAACCTCCCCTCATCTTTTTTGTTTTTCACCCATTCAGAAGAATTCAAATAAAATATTTTACGGCGACCCCAAGGTAGATATTTTCGAAATCTTTATGATAAGCAAATATTTTTGTGGCTCGTGGCTAACTGAATAAAAAGCCGCGTAAACAACTTCTTCAATTATTTGCGTATTATTTGAATAGTTGTTTTTCCCTACAACTAGTTTTTTTTGCTCTTCAACCTTCCTGAATGAGAGGAAAACAAAGGCAAACGGGGGTTCACATTAACAATAGTACCAGCGCTGTATACAGTCCATCATATTTTGGATGAGACTGAGGTTTCTCGGTTGTTGTTGAATTATATTGTATATACCGGGTGACACAGGTTATCGGGCCACCCCTGTAACTTCTGCATTCGTCAACGGATTTTTCTGAAATTCGGTACACTTATATAAGCAACTATTTCGGATTTGATCACATTACAATCCAATATGGCGGACTTCCGGTTTTTCTGGAAATGCCAGCAATTTTGTTTTTTCAAATGGAACACCCTGTATTTCTTTACATATTCAAGTTCAACAGGTCAAAAAAAGTGCAATCTTGATGTTAAATGTCATTTATTCCACAGCCTACCTAGTTGAAAAATTATTCTAACTGCAAGGAAATTCATAAACTAGTTGTTGGTTTTTGAATGTATACAATTTGTTACTGCACCGAGAAACAAAAATGATATTTCATTTTGTTCCTTAATGTATGTTCTAGAGAAACGGGTAGGTGGCCCATAGGGGTTCCATTTGAAAAAAAATAATTTTTGATCAAAAAGTGATGTGGCTGAATTGATTCCTGGATAAGTGACACAAAAAATAATTTTTCAGAAAAAATTATGTTCTTTTGTTATGTGTGACTCATTGTGAATAGTCTCGACCACATCTCATTTATATACGAGGTAAAATGAAAAAACAATTTTGATTTAAATTTTTTCGAAAAAATGACATTTGAAATAAAGATTGCACTTGTTTCGACCTGTTGAACTTGAATATGTAAAAATATACAGGGTGTTTCATTTGAAAAAACAAAGTTGCTGGCATTTCCGGAAATACCGGAAGTCCGCCATATTGGATTGTAATGTGATCAAATCCGAAATAATTGCTTATATAACTGTACCGAATTCCAGAAAAATCCGTTGACGAATGCAGAAGTTACAGGGGTGGCCCGATACCCTGTGTCACCCGGTATATATACAATTTTGTGAAACTCAAAACAGCCCAATCAGATTTTGCATAACCATTTCTGTTTATGAGTTACATGGCCATTTTGAGAATTTATACCATTTTTTCAATCTCTTTGAGCGCATGGAAGGAAATTTATATAATGGTCGTGGAACTTCGTGCGTACCTAGGGAGAATTGGGAGAGGAGGTAGAGGTGTTAGAATTTATTTAAACTTTTGGAGGTTATAAGACCTTGAGAATATACTTCCATTGGCAAAGAATTACAAAGCTTCGCCGTTCTATGAACGAACATTAAAAAAGTTATAACTGAATTAGTGCGTAAGAACCGATAATAGGAATAAGTGACGAATTATGGGAAAAAAGAAAGTTGAAGTTTGATTGATATTCATAATTGATGTACATTTTGAACATTATGGGCAAGATTATATTGACATTATACAACAACTCAGAGTATAGTTCGATCTGAATATATCAACAATATGAATATTTCTTCCTCTCTAAACTAGAGGATTCAAAATTCAGAATGATTCCAATTATTAGGTACCTAGTTTTAAGATGAAAATAACATGAAAAATATAATCTTTCATTCCCAATAGAATTTTGAGATTGTAGAACATAAAGTGACTCATACATAAACTATATTTTATGTGAAAAAGGGTTCCAGACTATTGTGAAAAGTTCTAAAATTAGTCTGATAATTTCACAACTAACATTTTCGACCAATTGAAAGCCTGTATTATGTATCGTTAACATAACAACTAAACAGTATTTCCGGAAATGTTTTCCTTTTTCTTACGGGCAGGAGCATGAAATTTCACTGATTTATAGGTGAGATGACATTTACATTTAACTTCAGATTACGTCGAATTCATATATTGTACCTATTAAATGAGTATCCAATAAGATTCCCTGAATTTGTGTGTGAATTTTTAGGAAAATATATTTCTTTCAACTTTAGCTGAGTGAGTTTGTAGAAGACTTAGAGATTGGGCTACCATCGACTTATTTTTTTATTATTTCATTCAGCTGAAGAAACTATTGTTAAGGGGTGTTAAAGTTAGCATACATTTTTTGTTTTTATTTTTAAGTTATGTTGAAACGAAACCTACCGATAAAATAAATTTAACTGAAATTTGAATTCTTGATCAAAAATCTATATATGAATAAATAGCCGCAACTTTGTGTTCAATACATTGATATCACTTCTGAATGGGTATGCCAAAAGTCAACATAGAAATAATGTATCTTAATTGCATTTTCAGTTGGAGAAACTTTTCATTTCATATATGGAATATACTTGAAGATAATATTCAAAGATCACACACAACTGAGAAAGATTGAAATCTAAATGTTTATTTTTGATTCGACGAAAACCCACAACGAAAGAATTTCTGATATCTCAATTTTTCAGGTTTTCAGCAGTTCAGCGGTACAACAGCCATAACCTTCTACGCTCAAACAATTTTCAAAGAAGCTGGGGACGACATATCACCTCATCATGCCTCCATGATATATTTCTCAGTCCAACTTCTTGTGACGATACTATCTTCAAGCCTTGTAGATAAAGCAGGACGTAAACCACTACTTATTGTATCAATGATTGGAACGGCCATTGCGCTTTTCTTAGAAGGGACTTATTTTTATGTCAAAACCGAGACTGACATTGATACCTCATCATTCGGTTATGTACCTGTTATAGTATTAATAGTCTTTGTGATAGTGTTTAGCTTAGGAATGCAGAGTATCCCACTTCTTATACTTGGTGAAATGTTCCCCACTAGCGTCAAAGCATATGCTTTATGCTTGGCTGACATTCACTATAGCATTATGGCTAGCATCGCCTCAAAATTTTTACAAATTACAAAAGACAAATATGGAATGTTTGTTACATTTTTTGGTTTCACTATATTCTCTATAATGGGGTTGATTTTCATAATTTTAGTTGTGCCTGAAACTAAAGGGAAAAATTTGGAAGAGATTCAAGATCTACTGAAAGGTAAGATACCTCATGATCATAGTAAATGTGATGAGGAAGAGTGTGTAAAGGTCTGACCTGACAGGTACCAACTCATGTATTGTTTCATTTATTTGTGACAAAATACAGCGCTGTGATCACCGTTTGTGTTTTATTCGAAGTTCCAAAATGCCCCCTCAGCAGAATCCACGAATTCACCTCTATTAACTGCATGATTTTCCCAATGAACTAGCTACATACCATTTTCAGGCTCAATTTCGTTTAAACCATACCTTTTACTCCACTGAATGATTATTAGATTTTTTTACACAATCTTGATGATGTCATGGAATTCACCCAGGTTTACTTGATTTCTTGAACCTGGGAATGTTTATTTTTCGACCACGTATATTTTTATCTTGATGATGTCATGGAATTCACCCAGGTTTACTTGATTTCTTGAACCTGGGAATGTTTATTTTTCGACCACGTATATTTTTAGAAGTTTAGTGAAGTAAGAGTGCGATAACAAGTGAAGTCCACAGATTCTATTGATTTCTGACATCGCTATCAGGAAAACAGGGGAAAAAGTCGTGACTGCGAAATGATAGAATTCATCGACCCTCATGTGTCTAAGAGCCTCGAATGTGTACTTATAGTCTGAGATTCCAAGTAAGGTCAACCTTCACTCATCTGCTCAACAGTTGAAAATCATGTCATCAAATAAAATATGTTTCTGAACATGTACTAATAGGGTTGCCATGGAAAATATGTTCATGATTATATGATCAATAAACATTCAGGAAAATAATTTATTTTTAAAAGTTCACCGACTTTTATGCCAAAAGAAGGAAATTCCAATAAAAAGTATACAACAATATGGAGCAGCTAGGTTGTCTACCTATTTATCTGGTCCCTATGATTTCTACCTATAAACAGATATGTTATTTGTTTCGGACAGTTGAGTCCAGAATAGGATATTCGCTTGTACAAAATTGGCTAATCATTAATTTAAATAAATCGGAGCACGATTCACCTTGGCGTCTTATACCTCGTGGATCTGGATGGTCGATATCGTAGAAGCTGGTTGAAGCAGTCTGGCAGGCTGGTAGGCACTTGCTAGTACTTGAAATTGTTGCTGAAGGGCGCCCTCTCTTTTTTTTTTGACTCGTTTTATCGCGAATTATGTATTATTGTCGGAAAACTTGTACCGGTCAAAATTACTATATCGTGCGGTATTCGACTCGTCCGATGCGCATCCTTGATACATGAAGGACGCTCGCGCAGACGCTCAAGGATTATCGTGCATTTTCATACGCGAAATTTAAACTATGAATATGAGATAGACAATATTTTCCCATCCATCTTTTAATGTACAAAAAAAACATATTAATGTTTAAGTAACTCCCTAGTTAAAAAAAGAAGAAATATTATGTTCATAAAATAACGCAAACTTGATAAGGTAAAAACAGTGAATTTCAAACATTATTATTAATGACTGCACTCATACAGCGTATGTACTCTCGGAAAAACTTAGCTCAGTTCAATTTGCGGCACTTTTGAATGTTCGCTATGAGGAAATCTATCACCTGTCATTTGATTTTTGTTTCAACTCGTACTCACATGACGGGAGTATGCCCGGAATAACGGCAGCAAATGAATCGCTGTGCCGTGTGGCTTTGGCTGAGATTAAGGGGTAGCACAGGTAGGTTTTGAGATCTACCATTCAATTGGTATCCCACTTAGCAAATTTGGAAGCTATGTTGATACAAGGTTGTAGCAATTACTGAATCGGACGTTCAGCAATATTGCAAATGTGAATTTGTAAATATAACGTTACAGCAAACAGCAATGTCACAGCAACATGTAATATTGCTGCAACGCTACATTATCAAACTTCACTTTTGCAATATTGCTGAACGTCCGTTTCAGTAATTGCTTCAACATTGCATCAACATAGCTTTCAATTTTGCTTAGTGGAATTGGATGCCATAATTCTCATTTCGTTATCGAATCAGGAAATTGAGTGCAAATTACCGCACAGGAAAGTGCAATTTTTCAATAATTTTGCTCAGGATAGTGATTGTCACATATGCCGTTCAATAAAATACAGTGTATTCACATGCTCTTGTGACATATATCATTACGTAGGAAGGAAAGTCTCCAAGTCATCTCCACGATTTTCAATGACAAAATGTTGCAATGGGGGTGGTACATGTTTCGGGCCTATCATAAGCCCATCACCAGCCAAATATATAAAAAATCGTGGATAAAAAAAGGTACATTGCTTAATAAAGACACCCACTATATCTACTAAGTTTCTCAGCGAAATTGTCAAATTAAAATCTTGTCCCATGAGAATAATTTTACGCAGAATCCAGTTGCGCATTTCTTTTTTTTTTAGGGGTATGGTTTTGCAGATACTTCTCAAACTTATGACTTTCTAAATGGAACATCCTGTATTTCAAAAGCTGATGAAATTTCTAATTTTTTACCTTGACAATGATACATAATGTATCAATATAATATTTTCAAAAATACTCCAAAATCACTAAAACATTGAATTTCAATAGTGGGCTATGAATTCTTCATATAAAAAAAGTTCTAAGGAAGAAATATTTCTTTTGATTTCTCCATGAAGAGGACAAAAGTTATATCAACACTAATTAACTGACAGAGCACAAAACTTAGGTAGCTGATAGGAACAAATAAATAGTAATAATAAGTTCATTATGTGGATAGAATAAGCACCTGATATAAATATTTACTAAAAAAAATGAACTTCGAAATTATTCAGTAACTTATTCATTGAATTGTTCAAATTGATGTCCTTTTTCCCTAACACACAGTTGAAAAACATTCTCAATACGTCTTATTGTGAGAGGCACAACATTTCTGAAGAATTTCGTGCAACAACAGAGGCAGTTTTCTAGGAATTACAAAGACGTCCTTTAATGGTTTTGAATGCATCAATACATGAAATAGACATCAATTTGAACAATTCACTGAATAAGTAACTGAATAATATCGATGTATCTATACTTCTGTTATTCGCACTTACAGCCCCCAGGTCTAGGTGCATAATATACAGGGTGATCCACGAAAACGAAAAGACAGAACGTCCTGAAAATTGCGATTCTTCGATAATTGAACATTCTTTATCCATCTAAAATATTTCCATCGATACAGTGTTGCCACTTCTATCAGAAACAACTAGCAACTTTGTTATTTCGAATGGAACACCCTGTATTTTATTGCATTTTTAGATTCTTTCTGAAGAGCTGATTTCATCAATGTATCACACTTGAGGTCTAGCAAGTCTGATTACAGAGATATAGGGTGTTCAAAATCGAGATTTTTCAATTTTAGGAATTTTTTGTTTCGAAACTATTCATTATCTATCAAAACAGCTTACATGTCCCTATCTTAACTTTTGATTGACTATCTGTTCCAATCAAATGTCAGTAGATAGTGAATCGAAAGTTAAGATAGGGACATGTAGGCCGTTTTGATCAATAATGAATACTTTCGACACGAAAAAATCCTGAAATTGAAAAATCTCGATTTTGATCACCCTATATCTATGTAATCATTCCTGCTAGACCCCAAGTGTGATACATTGATAAAATCAGCTTTTCAGGGAAAATCTAAAAATGCAATAAAATACAGGGTGCTCTATTTAAAATATCGAAGTTGCTAGTTGTTTCTGATAGAAGTGGCAACACTGTATCGATGAAAATATTTTTGGCGGATAGAGAATGTTCTATTATCAAAGCATCCCAATTTTCAGAATGTTCTGTCTTCTCGTTTTCCAGATACTTCTAATAGGCCATCCACCGTGGAATCAGCCTGTATACTTATAAAATTATTGTATGAAAACTGTATGAATTTCAATAATATCTTTGAATGTTATTATCATAAATAAATGAATGGATGAAAATAGTACATTGTTTAACAAGCACGAGATCATAGTGATTCCCCACGAGAATGAAGTTTGCAGCATGAGCAGTAGGCGGATGCTGCACTCATTCCAGTAGGAAATTAGCATTCCGTTGGAGTTATAAACTATAAATTGTCTACGGCTGTAACGAAGAACAGCGATATTTTTGAATTCTTCGTCTTGTACCATCTGATTTCTTCCCAAGTAATGCTCATTCATTATAGACAGGGCTGTCATTGCTTAAAATTTCATATTCCATGGGCGATGAGATTTTTTCGAAATGACACAATCGAGTCATTGTGATATCAGATACGGAAATAAAATTGATGACATACAAAATACCTCATTGATGTATCGAACACAGTCAAACAAGAGCCATTTTGTGTTATGACCGTGATACAATTTTATTTCAGTGTAGCAGTCAGTGATAACAGTCATTGTAATCATTTCAGGAAAAATCGATATTTCTTCATGGACATTAAAATTATTCGAAATTTCCTAGAAGGTATTTCTTAAATACTGTCCGATATATCACTGAATTGAGAATGAAAATTTCAATGAGATGAACGAAAAAAAAACATGGGGTTGCAATTTGAAGAGGAAAAATCATAGGTGGTTTCTACAGTAGATTGTTTGACAATTTTTAGAGTTTTTTTTCGTGTTCTCTAAGACTAACTGAAAAGCTTAGGATGAATATATATTGACAATCCTGTCAACGTCAGTCTTAACTTCACTCAGTGCAGCTAGAATTATTTCTCTTCAGAGAAGCGTTAGTGAAATAGTTTGCAGGTATCCGCATACTTTCGGATATTTGGTTCACTCTGTATATGTACGTGAAAATAACCTACAACTATAACACAAGTTCATTATCCAGTTCACAGAGTTGTTTAATTATACGAGACAAATATAAATTATTACACAAGTTTGAAAAAAAAACAGTTCAACTTCTGAGTTCATACACCTGAATATAAGCCTCTGTTAATGTTATCATTTGTGGTAGAATATCTGTCACATGCAAATCTTGCATTTCATACCATTGTCCTGTTGATTTCTGTAAAATATGTACCCTGTATGTACCTTTATTGGGTTCTCCATCATGAACGATATTGGCAACCAGATCGTATATTGTGTTTTTGTGTCTGGCGTTGACTTCTGGAGTTAAAAATTCAGCAAAATCAACATTTCTACAAGAAAAATAGGGTTGTTAATTGTTATCAATTCGTAATATAATTATTATTGCAATAATAAGGTGATACATCTTTTTATACTCACTTTACTGGAAAATTCACAATTGTTGGATTCTTTTCAACATAGAATGTATTCTTAGTGAATCGTTTGATATAGAGTATCAAAAATGGAGGTAACCGTGTTATTTCGAATCTCTTCATGAAATTTTCTTTATAAGTTTTGTATTCTTTCTCCGATTGTCCATTGAATTTGGTGAGAAGTTGATATAAATTCACCTGAAATGAAAACATTTAGCTGTAAATAAACGAGATCAATTTCTCTATTGTTTGAAACCAGTTTGACATGCCAAAAATAAAATTAGGAAAATCCATTAACTGCCTTCATTTTGAATGCCTATGTTCAGTGATTATCAATTATTTATGGTATTCCTAAAATAATAATTTTTGGTATGGAGCAAAATGGTGAAATTCGTCCTCTCAATCTTTTTCAAATCTATATATGTATAGGTGAGGATATCTGGTGATCTTAGTCTGAAAATTCTATACAGTTGAATCAGGAGGTTTCAGTCAACAGCACCTCCAGTCATTTTACAGAGAATAGCTATTTTTTCATCTCTTGGAGCACACTAGAAGAAATTCCTATGATGTTCAAAGAACATCGCGCGTACCTAGGCAGGATAGGGAGAGGGGGTAGGTGTTGGACTTTTTTTGAACTTTTTGAGGTTATAAGTTCTTGGGAATATTTCCATTGGCAAATAATTCCAAAGCATTGCCGTTCTATAGACGAACCAGTCTTGGAGAGTGTTGTTCAACATAATTTCAAGGTACGGTACACAACGGAAGGATGTGCTGACTGGGCCAGTCGAGTTCGTCTGACTTGTATTACTAGTGATGGAATCATATCACAGAGATCTCTGAGGAACTTTTCCCGTGAAAGTGTATCTCTTTTGGAGCCACAAAGGTTACAATCATATTGTGAGGATCAGTCTTCTGATTTGAAAATATTCACACTGTTCAACATGAACATGTACAAAGTAAACATACGAAAAGAATTGAAAACCACCATTATATATGGAAAATGGAAATAAATATACTTGATGAAATATCTACCTCTTTTGAAAATGTTTTCAATGAAGGAATTGAGAAATTTATCAACAATCTATACAAACTAAAGTACACCATACTCCCAATGAATATTTCGATGACTCACTTCAGTACCTTCTACCTTCTAATGGAAAAGTGATGCTCAAAAATAATATCAATTTTTCATCCTCTCAAAGCGGAACTCATGATTGAAGGGACAAGTGGAAGAAGGGGTCAAGTAACATTTTCTGAAAATATCCGGTTATGGTCATAGAAGGAAGCAGATGTTACGTGCATATTATGTAACTTGCCCCCTCAGGATTTGCTTCTATTCTTCATATCTGAGCAGATAGACAGTGGTAGGAGAGGTTATTTTAAATACATCAAGAACGTTATGGAGAAAAGAGCTATGTGCCCATTACCTCCATTCAGGAAATGAAAGAAGGGGTTATGTACGCATAAATGATATATCAATAAGCTGAAAATCATGAAAATTCAGAAATCATTCCTCACTTCAAAAAATTAAATTATCAAACTAGCTTCCATTAAAAAATGCCAGCTAATTTTACTGAAATCAATTTTTTTCACAAACTAATATTTGTAACATACCTCCTTCTTCCACTTGTCCCTTCAATTTTGGACTGAAATATGTATTTTGATGAATCAATGATTCCTGGAAAATAGAATGTGTCTGCCAGTCTATCTATTGTTATGTAATACATCCATGAAGGAGTGTATATATATTTTTGTAATTGTGACATGAAATTCGACACTTGACAAAACGAAAGTTTTAAAACGTCTCACGTTACGTAAAAATATTACATAACTGATGATGAAATGATCATTTCAACACCAGTTACGAAATAAAAATATCGATGGACGAAGAGAATAGTGCATGTTGTGCTGCTTTATTCTCATTTTATATCCTGATATAATATACAGGATGTCCCATAATTACATAAAAAGATCACAACTACGGATTGTAGGAACGAGAATAATAATATAAGTAAGTATTATATATTAAGGCGAGCCAGGAATGAAAGCTTTTTGTGAATATTTTCGAACCCTTTGTGATAAAATAACCAGATTTTGAACATTCACCTAACTTTTTATGCCTATTCAGAAAATGTTAGTAAATTTACAAATTTTGAACAGGAACATGGGAAATATGGAGGACAAGGGACACTTTTTCACTAACTTTTTTGTTGATGTAATTCCAGCCAGCTTGACCAGGAAATATGAAAATCTCAACATTTATACATTAGAATGGTACTCATGTTTCGTTTAGATAGTATTCACCGTTTTCGAGATAAATCGATTTCAAAATTCAGCTGCTCAACTCCTAAATCATGACTGCATGTAAAGAATAAAATAATGCTCTGTCTTATAGGGTACCTACCTATCAGCATCATTTCTCAATTTATTATTCTTATTGCACCCCAAATATTTTGAATCAAAATAAATGGGAAATGTTAAAAGAAAGCACCTGGTTTCTTGGTAGGTCATCAGTATGACAGCTCCGAGTTTTTGGGCTTCTTACTCAACAAACTACAAGATCAAGAGAACACCTTCAACTTTTCGTGTGATTTCTCTGGAGAGACAAGATAAGCTATCACGATGCTGATGCGAAATTTTTACAGCAGGAAGGTGTTGACAGTTTCAGGATGTTTGGTTTGCGAAACGGAGGGCGATCCTGTCGATTTAGGAGCTGCAACTATCATTTTTGTAAAAAGTTTGTCTTTCACGAGAAAATGGAAATAATTGAACAATAATAATAATAATAATAATATTTATTTACCACATTATAGGTCATAGGACATTGGAAAGCAAATATGGTAAATAAGAGGTAACCCACAAAGGGATGAATCCCTGTACGTGGGTGGAGCTATGTTTAACGAGTACATAGTAAATAGTAAATAGTAAATAGTAAATAGTAAATAGTAAATAGTAAATAGTAAATAGTAAATAGTAAATAGTAAATAGTAAATAGTAAATAGTAAATAGTAAATAGTAAATAGTAAATAGTAAATAGTAAATAGTAAATAGTAAATAGTAAATAGTAAATAGTAAATAGTAAATAGTAAATAGTAAATAGTAACTACGCACTATTTTCTTTTTTCACATTCAGTAATGATTTAAGAGTTACGCAGCATAATTTTGAAATTGATTTATCTCGAAAATGTTTAATGCTGAGGAAACTGAAAGCAAGTACAATTTTTTAATGAAAAAGTTGAGAATTCTATATTTTCCGGTCGAACTGCATTACCAAAAAAATGAGGAAGGAGTGCCCAAGCCCCTTCTATTTCCCACGGAAGTGAACAAAGCATAAAAAGTTATGTACAAGGGATCCCATATAATATGACCACTCCCTTATCTACTAAACTAGAATAGACTCAAAAAAAGTTGAGAATCGAAGTTGTTCATAGTCACATGAACTTTCTTTTTCAGATGATGTCAGACACATTTTTTACATGGAATACCCTAAATTTTATTTCGTCTTTGATTAGAGTCCAGAAAAACGAGTTCAATGATATTTGGTGACACGGGTCTGGGATCACACCTTTTCGGACTTATCCATGATCTCCATAAATAAATAGCCAAATTGCAAAGCCCTATCGAAACGTTGAGAATCAAGTTTTCGATGCGCCGTGTCCGTCATAAATCAACAAAGTCTATAGTATTGACATATTATGCAAACCCATCAAAATTTTCAAATGAAACACCTTGCAGTTCATTTCGACCTTAAATAGAGCTTAGAGACTTAGAGGCCGTTTCGCACTTATCCATGATCTTCTTCAAAGAGTAGTCAAATTTCAAATTACTTGAAACGTTGCATAGCAACAAACTTTTCCTCCCTAAGCAGAGAAAGTACACCTTTCCTGCCTGTTACGTGTCACAGAAAAGCCACTGTGCCGCTTGGAGAAAATAGTAGATTGTTTTATTAGGATCAAAAGTGACACTTTGTTTGACAAGCGAATTTTGCATTTGCGACAGTGAAAGCTACCATAGCACTTTTTTCAATAACCACTTCTAAGAAAAAAAGAAAAATAGGTGAAGCTCGGGATTTGAACCCAGGACCTAGGGCTTATGAGGTATGCACCTTACTGCAGTGGCCATTATGTTTCCTGAAAATTTATGTACAAAACAGATTCATATGGATGATCAGTTGCATCGCATCCTTATGGCATGGTGAGCCACTTTGGGTAGTATTGAATTCTTGCAAATTTAGTATGCAAGTTGACTTCACTGCCCGTCACTTTCAAGTATCCGTAAAACAAAATTCACGAAATAGACTTGTTTGATATATTCATTAGTAGAAAATGGATGATTATTCAAGTCCTGGTTTCCCAAGAGATATGCAGGAAGCAAAACAAAATGCACTATTCTTTCCATCCAACCATATTTTCATTTTATAACTGGTGTTGAAATTAAGATTAAGAATCACCAGTTATGTGATTATTTTGCTTCATTCAACTGGTTACGTAAAACAAGACGTTTCAAAATTGCTGTCAGTTTTTAAGTGTCAACTTTTATGTCAAAATTAGGGAAACACATTATCATGCATTTACTAATCCTTCGAAATCATTGATTTCCAATGAAAATTCAGATTTGATTGGTGACGCCGGTGAATGTTTCAAAAAATAATTGTTTCATTTTCTATTTTGTTATTATCCATATTCCGATTTTTCTGAAACTTTTGACAGAGTTATTCCTGTTATTGAGACACATCTATGGGTGTAAATAAATCAGCATTGTATAGTCCAGTTAAGCGAAGGGAGAGGTTGCAATTCATATTTATTTGGAAAAGAGGTGTGCGCCACTGCTATTTCGATGTTTCATTATTTTTCTGCAAGTTCAAGTTCTGCAATCAATACAAAACTTTTTTTAGTGCTTGAATTTTCCACGGATCCCTTTCATTGAACAATGCATAGACTCATTATTCACATAAGAAAAGTAAGAAGTGTTTCAAAAATTAATTAAGGTTCCTAACGACACAGTGGAGTAGATGAATACATATAATTCATAATCAGTACACTCGCCCATTGTACAAATCGTTTATTCAAAATATCATAGCAGAGCGCTTTCGGCTATAAAGCAAATTCTCCATAGAAATCTCATGTCAACCTGACGAGTATGCACTGATGATGGCTTTATAACCGAAAGCGTCTTGCTATAAACGATTTAGCATGAAATACAAGATTTGTACAATTATTTGTATATGCATGTGCACACAGCTAAGCAACCCTCGCCTATGTTTATTGGACTTTTTTCCCGTCTCAATAGCAGGAACAAATTGAAACACCCGGTATATTGAATCTAAGTTGGTCATGTGGATGCTGAAATTGAACATATGACTTAGGATCTATCAAGTTCATATCTTCATGTCAAGTCAATCATTTTTCATTTCATGACCATCTTTGAAGAATATAATTTGTTCATCTGGGAATTAAATATTGAATATTATACCTGTGGAATGATATTCTCCCTGAATTCATCTATGAAAAGCGGTGGCGGTGGTAAATCACACGTCAGATACAAAAAAGGAGAATCTGTAGCGACTTCTTGATATTCTGGTGTGGCAAGCAAACTCTTTTTCTCTTTGTCGTTCAAGTCTGTGGAAGGAATCTTTCTGGTGTATATCGTCATGTTACCCAAAAACGACTTATGGATAATGGAACTGTCTTTTTTCTTGTTGCCATTGAGGGCACGATGCAGAGCGTTCAGAAACCAAGAGAGAAAGTCGATAGGATCACCTGAGAATTTGAAAATAAAGTTTCGTATCAGGGAATAATGAAACTGGAATAATGCTTTTTTTGTATCAATAATCTTCATTGCATTTTTCCCATGATGTAAACAATCAACAACTTACAAATTATTATATCAGTAGTTTCCAAATATTCTTCATCCTAGTTGAAGATACATTTAAAGATTTGAATGAAAAAAAATACATGCCATTTCTCAAGATGCTATTTTAAAAAACTCATCATATGTTGACATTTTCGTTAATATCTCAGTTAGCGAAGTGGATATTTTCTGTCACTCAGCTAATGAATACTTAGAACTTAATAGTTATTTATGTATCAAGGGCGTAAAATAGGATTTTATGGACCGCATCGTGTAAGTAATAGACCGAGCGATAGCGAGGGCTATTAACACGCCTAGGTCCATAAAAGCTAGTTACGCCCGAAATACATACAACATTTTATGCACGACCTGTATATATTTGATATCTCATGTAGGTATCTCTTCACCCCTCGAGCACAATAAAAATACATCACGGTTGCAGTGAGACTGTATTGTATCCATATCGCAAATACAATTAATCAAGAAGTATGGAATCAACGTTACCACGGGCGTCGCCCTAGCTTCTCAGGTGAGGCTCTAGCCGTTCGATCGGTCCCTGTGAAATACCTGGGGGTTAAACTGGACACTCGTATGACATTCAGGCCCAATATCAACTACCTGATTCAAAAAACACAAGCAGCCATAAAGAATATGTACCCCTTGTTATCCAGGACCTCTGCACTCTCGCAGGAGAACAAGGTCCTGGTGTACAAGCAGGTCATCAGGCCTGTGATGACGTACGCGTATCCTGTGTTCTGCAGCATCTCACCTACTCTTATGAATAGGCTACAGGTGCTGCAGAAAAAAGTACTTCGTATTATCACCAATGGTGATAGATACTCTCGAGTGGCAGATCTCCACGAAAGATGTGGTAATTTGCCAAAAATCTACGAATTCATTCTTAAAATATCAAACAAATTCTACAAATACCACATCGCTGGAAGTGACCTTACCCGGAACATCACCACACTACGCCAACACCATAACATACGCAAGAAATACGGGCTGATATATGCATCAACTGATGTGTTTAGAGAACCTGGTGATCTATAGTTGGAATCCCTTTCGGATTCTCGGGAATACCCGAGAAGCCGGGGGGTCTAGACAAGACTATCTCTCAAGCAGGAACATAAAAAAGTGACATGGGCGTGAGAAATCACTACCGATCACTGAACTCGGGCAGATGTGCCGCACGAAAGTGTGGTACAACTGCCCGAGCAGAACAAGAAGGAGGTTTTTTATGGTTTTGCCAATTTTTTTTTACATTTCCTCCAAAAACAAGTTAACCCACCCACATTGATCGCGACTAAACAGCTACCCCACCCTCTTGGGTACCCTCAGCGAGATTACCTATATAAAGGGCTTAGCCCTAGGAGATAGGTACCTGTGACGAACACCTCGCATATCCACTCACATTCCCTGGCCAACACCAGCCACCTATGCGCCAAGCGGAGGAATATTCAGGCACACATACAATAGATGTGCTAACATAAATAGAAATGTGTGTGATAATATGTGTTGTATTGTGAAAGAATTGAAGATGAATAAATGATTTTAATGTGTCTAGCCGTTCGATATTTGAAGTTAAGCAGTGTCGAGCGCGGTTAGTACTTGGATGGGTGACCATTCGAGGAAACGCCGCGTAAGCCCGTACATCTGTAGCGGAATAGCATATCATAGCTACAGCTACCATATCAATGAGCACAAGATATGGTACGGATATGCTGTCCTTCGGAGGGGACGTTAAGCCGGCGGTCCCGAGGCCATGGATGTTGGACTCGTTAAAGATTCCTACCTCTGGTTGGAACACCAGAGGATTCGGCAAAATTTCCGGTTGGGGGTATAGTGTGCTCACCGGCGTCGGTGATAAGCCTCAGTAGCAGAAAAAGGCCGACGTTAAAGAAACGAATAAAAAAAAAACGTTACCATGGCAACTCAGTCAATTTTTCGAAATAGGAATTAAATTAATAGGCCAGTAGCCATATTAACTGTGAATTTGTGTAATCATACATAATTCATTAGTGATTTCAAAATGAATTTTAGTGATGAAGAAAGTGTGAATTGTACTCCACCAGAAATTAGTGAGGTAGCTGAGGAAGCAAAATCGAGTTTATTGCCAAGTAAATCAAAAAAAATATACGACAAAGTATACGAAGAATTCGTAAGCTGGTGCGATATGGCAGTGACATTAGCTTTACCACCAGGCGGGCGATAAAGTAGTCCACGGGCGATAAAGTAGTCCACGGGCGGTAAAGTGCCACTTTACGCCCGCAAACCCGGGCGGTAAAGTGCTACTTTACGCCCGGTCGTGCATAAATGCTTTTACGTTCAGTTGGTCATATGTTGGGATCTTATTTACGAATTTATTAATTGAATACTCAACATACGAGTACACATCAATTTCAATCCATAAAGATAATGAAATATTATGGTTTTCAGCTTTCACTATTTTTTTTTTCAAGTTTTCACTCTTCAGTTTTCACCTATGTCAATTCTGGGTATCTCAAATGAGTATCAAACATAATGTCAGCTAATGACAAATACTTGAATATTTATTCTTCATGCTCATATTAGTTTCAAAGCAGTTTTCGAAAAAATATAGTTTGCATATTTTGCTGCGCTCAGCTCAGCAAAATAACTCCCATTCTTGAACGCGAAAGTATCAATTTGCATTCTAGATACAAAAATAACTATTTCTGTATTAAGAGTGCGAACTGATTGAGTGCCGCTCGATAAAGATATTAACCATTGGAGAGCGGCAACAATTTGTGCTTGAAACACACACAGTTTAAGAAAATGCATTTCTGTCAATGAGAAAGGAAATTGACAAATGTGTTAAATAACACTGTTTTTCTCGAAATTGATCCAACCTCTAGATAAGCTGCGCCCCTAGACTACTTGAATATTCATCCTAAAAAAATACAGATACTGCTTCTCTGATTACGAAGTTTGAAAAATTATTGAGTTTTACCTTGATGACTTACGAGACTCTGATTTTTTACCAAAATAAACCAGTAGCATGTTTTCTGAGTATTTATTGACCTTCTTGGTGTGAACCAATTTATGAATGATTATTTTAGTTTATATTTCTGTCTTGTATTCTCTGATAGAAGAATAGGAGATTTGAAGTTAAAAGTTTTGCACTTTCTGCCACATTAGGTGTGTTCATTGATCATGTAAAAAATAGGTTCGTGGCAGCGATACGATCCTTTTTCTTCCATTATTTCCGCTCACGAGCGCAAATACTGTCAAATAATGACCATTCATGGAAAACGTGTAATAAAATGTTACTATTGATACTTTTCAATGGTATCCCATGAACGCTCTTCCACTGATGGAATTCCACCCATTATTCTTAAAAGTGTGTACCAGAATTGAAACCCATTCTTCGCAAGTTATTTACCATCTCGTACAAGGCTGAAAAATAACTAGAGTCCAAACAATCCCCCGAAAAAGGAAAAAGAATCCTGCCCAACAACTAAAGGCCTATTTCCCTGTTGTCAGTTATCTTCAAAGTGATGGATGAAGCCGTCAACAGTAAGGTTATCAAATATGTGGCTCAGGAATCATCAATGATATACAATATGGCTTTCGCCATCGAAGATCAACTGGAGATTGACTTCCCTAGGACACCCATATATAGCAAGCTTTATTAGAAACATATTGGGAATCTCTATCTTCGACCGTGTTTGGCACCAAGGACGCCTCCACAAACTACCATCATACGGCTTACCACCTATGCCATTTTTCAGCCAGTTTTCTATCAAACAGATCGGTCTATATGGTGGTGGACGGAGTATCATCTGATACCAATAGCCATAAACTCCGGCGTACCACAAGAATCAATTTTAGCACCAACATTATTCCTACTTCATATCAATGATCTGTACTCTCCATACTGTGTTCACTTCCAGAATAACTATTTCTCTCCAGGAAACTGAGAACTCACAACGACGGCAGGTCAACGCTATCAATGAGGATCTTGCTGAAGTTACAGCCTGGAGAACCCCACCAAAACTCAAGCCTGCATTTTCTTTATAAAGGCGGAACTGTATGCCTGATAAATCAATGTCTCGTACCATCATTCCCACCAAGTCTACAATATCTATGCTCGGTATCTCCATCATCAATACCCTATCATGGAAAAATCATGTCAAATCGATCTCAAAACCTGCTTCACAAAAATTCGGATTTTTATTCCGTGCGAATGTCTACTTTTTACCTCAACATCTTTTCATGATCTACAAAGCAGAGATACGGCCTGTTTTAAAAGACTCTACCCACATATGGGGTTCAGCAGCCAAAGACACTCTGATGCTCTGAGATCCATCCAGAGAAAAGCCTGGTAGGTGATGCCACACTCACTAATTCTTTGAGGTCGTTGGAACCCCGTAAGAAAGTCGGCGATCTTTCAGCAGACAAACCCGACAAGCCCAGTCAGCACATTCTTTCATTGTCCACCTTAAAATTTGTCGAACAACACTTTTCCAGAATTCGTTCGTCTATAGAACGGATAAGTTTTGGAATTATTCGCCAATGGAAATATTTCTAAGAACTTATCAGCTACGATATTTTAAACAAAATTCCGATATCTACCTCTTCTTCCTATCCACCCTAGGTAAACACGATGTTCTTCGATTATTATAGGGATCTTCTTTCGTGCGATCCAAGAGATAAAAAAAGGATTGTACATTATTTTTCCTACGATCATAAAAATCAATATACAGGCTAATTCTCTCAGAAAGTAGTAGCAACTTTGATTTTCGAATGAAGCACCCTATATAACAGTGTCATTCATAAAGTCAGCATCATGTGGGATAAACTTTCAAAGAACATTTATTTCGAAATTTCACTAGCGCATTGAGTTTTCCTTGAAAAAATACGAAAAATAGACTACTCGATCGGGGTCACAAGACTTTTGCTACACGTCAAAAGTGAATATTTTTCAAATTAATCACTAAACTTAGGCTTATTTGTCGAATTTCAAAAAAAAAATAGTGTGAAAAATTGTTTCTATTCCAATTTTACATATAAGTAAGTCTCGAAAGTGAACGTATTATCATCATTATATTACAACTTTTAGTTTTTGAAATTTTTTTCAATTTCTACGAAATGTCTGATATAATAAAAAATTACCCTCACAAAACTATTTCATTCTAGTCGCTTTATCATGCTACTAACTTTCAATCACTAATTATATACAAAAATATGATTTTCTTCCGAAAATAATAATACCAGCTTCAAATTTCTGTTATCTGATGGAAAGTTGATGTATCGTCTATCATTCAGGAGTGAAATTTATTTAAACAGATTTTTTGTAGTGCTAAAATGATGCCAAGGCCATCTATCAAATCATCAGACTACTTTATGTATCTAACCAAACTTTCGGACAGTTTTGTCAAAGTTAGAATTAGAAGAAATCAAAAAATATCAAGAACTACAAGTTGCATTGAACCACTGGAGGGAAAAAGTTGAAAGTTGGTATACTATATACATATACTGGCGTAGCTACGGTCGTATGTCGCCACATTTTCCTTCATATTTATTCATTGACAGATGAAATGTCTAATTGGTGTATATCAGTTAGGCTTATCAATACTTCATCTAAAAGTTATAACAATTTTTTTACAACCATATATGTAATGTTGTCATTGCTAACTTCATTGAAGGTTGGGAAGTGTCACATTACACACCTCTACTTCCCGCCCTCACTTCCCGCCCCTCACTACTTCGCGCCCTCACTTCTCGCCCTCACTTCCCGCCCTCACTCATGTAATAATTCAGGTATGTTCAGAACGAAACATAGATTTATTAATTTTGATCGAAATATCATGGTTGTAAATAAAATAGTATACAAACCTCGGTAGGAAGTTTCATTCCTGTCTCGAAATTATAGCTATCCTCGACGCTTTGTGTCTCGGTTAACTAACTGATCTCACGACAGGAATGAATCACTTCCCACCTCGATGTGTAATATAACTATTACATGCCTGAATGTAGAGAAATGTCTTGAGATAATATTGCAATATGTTGAATAAAAAAATTGTATGGTTAATTTTCTTAACATATTCAATCAATAGTATCTCAAACTGGTTGCACTTCAAGACAAGTTCAATATGAACTGTTCACGTTGAGATAATGTGTTGAAAAGAAGGAAGTTTTTTGACCTACTTTATATATATTTGAAATAAGCACATGTCTCATATTATTTTTGCACATTTATTACACATTCAATTGTCTTAGTTCATGGTTTGAATAAGTGTCGCATTCCACTGTATTCACTCCAAATAGAGACTGAAAGGCTAATATATGCCTATATAAACTTATGTAAAATTTGTCATTTAACTGTTTCTATAATTCACATTTCAAACACCTTGGTTCACTTCATTTTTCATGGTGCTGAAACCTGCAAAAATGATTTCATTAGGCTGAAAAATATTATTGAAAATATATCATAGGGAATAACATACAATTACACCCCAAATCAAAAGGCCTTTTCCTAAGAAAAGCTTTTAGGATCGATTTCTGATGGATCAAAAACGAACTATTTATCATGTGAAGACAATGTTAATACATCCTCTGGAAATTCTCGAACAGTGTTTTCAACAGCTTCAACTGGAGGCGAAAATCAATATATAATGTCGGTTTTGAGTTACGCATCAAAACTCACCCTGATGAATTCGGTCACAAGAAAACTATCCTCTGTAAAATGAATTGAACAAAGATTCAGACAATATACATTCCAAGTTTGACTGTATCCCAAGACCATGCTTTGTAATTGGATATAAGAAACAACTATTCAGATAGGACTTATGGAACTTTTTTTTTCTTCGCCATTATGTTCAATAAGGAGTTATGCAATCTTGAACATATCACTTCATCCCAATAATCAAGTATGATATTAATATTACCTAGGATCTAATAATAATATTTTTGACTTTCGGGAATAAATTATGACAAGTTGTCACAAGTGGCAGCTAAAAAAATTGGCAACATTTCGTTGTTTGTAAACAAACCGATAAAAATGCATGATATAGGTCTCAGTAGTTTCTACCCTCTCATTTATTACCATACCTCCACGTAAGTCGGAGATCAGTATAATTATTTTATCCTTATTTCAGTGCCCATGCTTTGTTCAAAAATTTGCTATAAAATCATAGGATCGCGCGTTCTAGTCGTATGATTTAAAAATTGAGTTCTGTGGTCTTTACCCAATACTACCTCAAGACATATGATTTTAGCAAATATCACAGGAACCGCTTCATTTAGGCATGTGAAATGTTATTAATTTTGGGTGGAGTATCAATAATCCTAGCTGTTGTCACTTGTCACACACATCAATTTGACATTTCATTTGTTTGAATGCGACTGAAAATCAAATACATAAATGGAAATAAAACTCTATATGAATACATTAATCTGATAAAGTATGGCGAGTTTCATTTTTTGTTCTTCCGGGAGTTCTGATGGAATTGATATAAACCTTGAATTTTTTTACTTTCGACGCCTTGTATCTCAGAGAGGATGCAGCAGTCAATCTGCAATTGCTGCAGTGAAACATATTATTTCTCAAACTGTTATAAAACCAATTTTGTGTAATTTTTTCATCTAAAACTTCATCATTTTGTGTTCACCCAATGTCAAGTGTCAATTTATCACCAATTCTATTTGAACCGTTGAATAGCAACTAACTTTTCCTGCCTAAACAGAGAAAGTACCTGTCTGTTGTGTGTCAGAGAAGAGCCACTTTCTATGCAGCTTGGAGGAAAATATAGTTTCACTATAATAATGCATATAATATTTGAGTTCTTTTTTCAACTCTATTGATAACAGGAACATTTTTCATGTTTACCTTGCTTTGTGAACTGGAATTGTTTCTTACTCCACAGGACCACTGCCTGCAGCATTTCATGGGGAGAGACATGTGCTTTGAAATTCCTTGGGTTCCATAACTTCCTCATTAACTCTCCGAATCTCTGTACCAATAAGTATGCCGAGTCGCCAGGTGGCCTCTTAACACTGGAATAATTTTCTTCTCGTAGAAAGTAATTCCTCAATGGCGTAACATGGGATAGGGCCTGGAATAAAATTGAAATTCACACATTCATAATAAACATCATCAAGTAAGTAACTAGCACAACTCTGTTGAAGTATCGAACAGGTTGAATCCCATAAATGTGAAAAAACTAATACTAGTTTGGGGGCGAATGTGATTACGTGAGATTTCAAATGATGGAATAGTGCGACTAGTGAAAATGTACAGCTTAGGGATGATGCAATTAAGTACTGCCAGGTGTTTTGCATGAAAATGTGTCAGAGACCTTCATTTATCTCATAATTCCAAGATTGCCGTCAGTATAGACAGCTATCGCTTTTTTGCATCGTAACATTCTTAACTCTACTACACTCTAACCTTCTTTGCATGAGATATACTTTTCAGAGATATGAATTCCAGTATTGGAACTTAATTGAAAATCAGAATATTTGTGGTAGTAATTGTGAAGAAATTCGATAATCTATCTGCAAAAACTTCATTTAATAGAAAATGTGAAAAAGACAAAGCTAAGGTTCAAGCCATCAACTTGACCTCAATAATTGACCGCTGTTGATTTTTTTTCTTAATGGGTAATTTGAGCTATGATCATTTTCTATTTAATGTAAATTATTGTGTCTACTTTCCGAAAATGAGGGCTTAGCCTACGTTTCCACAGGTAATTTAAATCCTTGGGGTTGGGAAATTAGGAAATAAAAGTTTTAGGCAAGTCAATGTAAGTTTAGTTCAATGTATGAGTATTTATTATTTCACCTGAAAGCTGCGGTGTTAGCGGAACATGTCGTGTGATTAAAAATTTTTTGGAAATCTTATTGTTTGTGAAGTTTTTACATTTACTATGGGTTTCCATCAAGTAACGGCCGAGTCAATTACATAATAACTATTTATATATCGAAACGAACCATTGCTCCCAAGATATATATATATGATTTTATCCACGAACGCATATATTTGGGAGCGTCGTCATTAAAATTGTGTTGCAAGCGGTCTATCTCTAGAGTCTCGTTCCAAATCAATGTGTTACATGATCTTAGGTTACAAAAGTGTAGTATGCGCCCACAGAGTATACCATGGACAATTATTGACAGTATATTTGAATCTGTCATATTGAATTTGTTTATTGTGATATTGCATTTTTGTATTGCAAGTTTCGACTTTGATTGAGTGAGTTTGGAAAATGAGGAAGTGTGAGTGTATTGGAGTTTGGAAAGGAAATTGGTATTTGTTTTATAGTAGTGAAGGAGACACTGACTAGGTACTTGGATAGCACAGATCTTATACGTATATCTCTACCAAGGAAACAAGCTGAAGCCGATTTATTTTACCTCCCACGGGAGATAGAATTCTGTTTACTCCCGTGGGAGTAAATTGACAAGTTTGTGTCCTTAAATGCGGGAGCAAACGCTTACTTTCGATGCAGTGAGTAGATAACTGATATTGTTATTACAATTCAAACGGTACCCTAAATATCGTTTTATAGGTATTGAAAAGTACAGGATTTGGCATTGAAAAGGGATGATTTGGGGTTGCGCTTGCAGCATGCTACGATGTGGTGGGGATGAAAGTCGCCGGCTTGTCAGGACTCCCATGGCTTACCATTTATTTCCTATGAATCATTGGACGGGTGAGCAACGCGGATACGCAGTTGAAGCCTACTATCGAAACGTAGTGCCAAAGCAGTTCGAACCCCTGAAAATATTGAACGTCTTCGACAGGGTATATCAAAAGGTCCTCACCGATCCCAGGGCGAATCGTTCCTCGGAACAGGAATATCAGTTGGTCTCCTCGGTTTTTCGACCTATTTAAAATATTGAATATTTGAATCATTTTTCCCTCCGCATAAATTGATAAAAAACGCAACTGGGCCCTTCCTTGTAGGGTTAGACTCGAGGTTAGACTCGAGGTTAGACTGTTCACAGACGGCTACATTTTTTGCAGACTTTTTGCCATACTGGAAAAGTGTAAATTTTCCCCTGTACGTCTCCGTAACCGTTCATTCAACAAAAAAGTTGTGAATAACTTTTTCCTTCAGAATTCAATGTGAATCATTTTCGTATAGCATGAACTTTGCACTAAACCTCATAGTTTTTAAGAGATAGGCAAAAAACTGCGAAAATTTCAAATTTCCGACTTTCCACCATCCCCCCACCCAACCCCGACGCTCGGTGTAGTGTAACTTTTTACTACGTGTCAAGGGGAGTAGACGGAAAAATTCGGCGCAAGAGGCATTTTTTTTTATGTTTAGGTTAAGGTCTAGTTTCATCGTACTATATCGCGAATATAAAGTTTTTCTGCAACCAACACAAAAGTCTCCATTTTGATACCAAAATCAGCTCTTAAATTGACGTTTCTATTACTGACACAAACATTAGGTATGTTGCTAGGCAACACATTTAGTTCCTAGGAGCTAAAGTTGCACTTCAGCTCCTAGGAACTAAAAAGGATGTACTAGGTCATCAGGAATGAACAACATTGTTATGGTTGGTTATTTGAGTTGGGACGCACACCTGATTTGTTTTCGATTTCGGCAGATTTGGCATTCCATACCCATGCTGGAGATATAAATACACCACATTATAGTTAAGTATTTTTGTTTTGATCAGGAAAGTATTCAAAATTCACATACTTGCTGGATCTGTATTTCTTTTGTTATTCTCGGGACCTGATTGATTGGATAACTTGTTTTTCAATAATCACGGCCAGCAATACTTTTTTGTCTCACACAACGATATTGTACATCGTTTGATTACCGACCCAAACACAGTGGAATATAGAGAGAAATAAATAATCGCTATTATTGTTGTTGATATGCTCACTAAACTAACATTTTACACTTCTTTTATGTCTCTATACCTGGCACTGACGCGGTATTTGCTATTAGGGCAGACACCTGGTCCAAATGAATTAATCGATTCATCGATTCAATAGAATACATAAATGAGTCACCCTGTGGTTATATTTATATTGAAACAACAATTCGAACATCCGTGAAAATTGAATCTGATCTGTAAATGCAGGTAGAATATTCTCACAGGGATGATTTGTTGCCTTACATTGCATACATATGGCACGTTTCGGGTCGATCTGTAGTATCCGATGATGCATCGTCCACCAATATTCTAATGTGAAGTAGTCTGAGGTCTTGCTTCTATCTACTTACCTATATTATTATAATAAAGGTATTGGTGGTAACTTCACACATTTATTTTAGTTAATTCTCTCGGTTGCAGAAAAAATATCATGTTTCATTCGGATCAGAAGTGATTTTGTTTGACTCACAAATTTTGCTTTCGCTCGGCGTCGCTAGACGCTCCGCCTCGCAAATGCAAAATTCGCTTGTCACAAGAAGTGTCACTTCTAATCCTAATGAAACAATCTACTATTATGTTACAGTTGAGTTTTCATGTTCACTGGGAGGTACTTACATATTAGTGGATAGATTGGTCGATATGAATCCGAAATCAAAATGTTCAACATCTAAGAAGTAAATTGAATTATGTATGTGATAAGTGTTTCATGTACCTTTACCCTATTCAGAAGACACTACATACAAGAGGAGAAAACTGAAGGAAAGCTGATTGGAATAATTCAGGAACGATTTGATCAAATTTATATTGAATCATCCCATCTAGCTCCACTTTCAATTCCTCCAGAACAACCTGTATAATTTGAGAAATAACTAATTTACCTGTAAAACCACATTGCAGTAATCATTAGCCTTGATATTATTCAGTCCAACAATCCCAGGTGTGTATAAAGAACCATCGATGGCCCTTGACAATTTAGTACTAGCATCTAAATTTTTGATATGATCCTCGGTGAATGTTGGATTCAATACGTACTTTATATCATCCAATGAAGAGTCTACAAAATAATTCTAATTTCAGCATGCACTAATATTGTGAGTGAAATAGAAATGAATCAGCAAGAGCAATACTGAATATACAAAGGACCCCGCACGAAAACACGGTAAATTGACTCTCGGTCGAATTGGCTGAAATTTCACTATGTTATTGTGGGATGGCTCATTAGGAAAATATGTGAGTTCGAAAAGTTTTGTATGTTTAGTTTCTGAGATATAAGCCGACAAAGTTCGTAAAAACGTCGTATCGGGGTAGGATTGATGAAGAAAAAAACTGTTACTTTAGTATAAATAAATAAGACAAAATAAGCTAGAATATGTAGTGATCGAAACTCAAATACATGTCTAGTTATGATCACATAAATATTTTGATGAGACATTATAGTTGTAGTCTATTGTAGGCTTCAAAAACGTATTTTGATTCTTGATAACTATCTCTGTTCGAAATATGAATTCTTTGAATTTTGTGTTACACCCCTTTTGGAAAACAATTGACAAAAAAAGGGATTAATTTATACTGTTCATTGAATGAATGCTGAGGTAACTCACTATAGCGAATTCTGTTGTTCAATATTGCTTTTCATTTAGATACAAGGTGTGTTAGATTTTGTTGAAGATTATTTAAAATGTTTCAATTGAATATCTCGAAAACAGTTCCGTTAATTTGGATCTCATTTCACTCACACTATTTTGAATATGTTGACTATATATATACAAGAAATTTTTCAATTTTTTGTTTCGTTTCTGAGATATGCTTTTTTGAGATTACAGTATTAGAGGTATTATAGGGTTATTACCTCGGATAGAACTATCAAAAATTGATATCTCAGAAACAGAACATAAAAAATTTGAAAAACTTTTTGCATATTATGATAGTCAACATATTCAATATAGTGTGAGTAAAATGAGATCCGAATTAACGGAACTGTTTTCGAGATATTCAATTGAAACATGTTAAATAATCTTCAACAAAATCTACCACACCCTGTATCTAAATGAAAGGCAATATTGAACAACTGAATTCGCTAGTGAGTTCCCTCAGCTTTCATTCAATCAACAGTATCAATCAATCCCTTTTTTTGTGATCAAAAACAAGCTGTCAATTGTTTTCAAAAAGGGGTATAACAAAAAATTCTAAAAATTCATATTTCGAACAGAGATAGTTATCAAGAATCAATATACGTTTTCGATGCCTACAATAGACTAAAACTATGATATTCCACCAAAATATAACTTGTTGGTTTTGGAATAGTGCTCGAATTTTCTTTTCCGAAAAATGAATTTTTTGACCGTGCCTCGTATACACCCTGATTTACAATAATTTATGTGATTATAACTATACATGTTTA